TAAAATGAAACCTTTGTCTTATTTCTTAATTAAATTATGGGTCAACTAGTGTTTCAAACTTTTGCTCTAGTTTCACAGATTATATTGCATTTGTGTGCATTGACTAATTTCACTAAAAAGAGCTGTGTAATATTCATGAAGATTAATTAATAATTAATTCTGATAACACCCAATATGTCATTATTTTTGAATGATGAGAGAGCATTATGTCTGCGCATTCAGCGTATTTGTTCTAGGGAACACTTATTTCATTTAAAGATACCATAATTTTAATTGGAAGTTCATTTCCAGTTTGTTTCAAGAGTTATTTTAAGATAACAAGTACAATTAAAGTGCTTTCAAAGTAAAATACAATTTTTTATTTCACATGTTGGCATATCAATATTCAGCCAAAGCACAGCTTAGTTTTAATTATACCGAAATTGCATTTGTACTTTTTTTGTTTTTAATCAGACCAATGTATATTGTCTACTTGTCAAAACTTCATCTCATTTTTGCCATCTGCCGTGGGAATTTATCAATATTTAACAAATGTTCCTAATTGGCCTCCACTGACATTGCAGTTTAATTTTATATTAAACAAATGACAAACAGAGCAGGTTTCAGTAAAGTTCACTGAAGAGACATAAAACTATACATGTAGATATTTATGCAGACTCCATAAATATATCCATCCAATTCTGTGACATAAAACACAGACACTGAACTCTTTATCTGTACTACCTTTCTGAATATTTCTGCCCTCATCATCCAAAATGTGCAGATCATTTCAGAAAATATCCATCTAATGCTTGTGATACTGGCACTACAGTAACATACAGTCCAACTCATTTTCTTGAGCACAGAGGTTCATTTGACTCTGTAATGAGCCTATTTTTTCTTCTCCTGACTGATTAAGAATCTTTTGTCTTGACACATATAATTATTTAATGAACGCAGCGACAGAATAAATGACATGTCTTTTGTGTTATTATTCTGAGCATCTTGACAAACAAGGCCCGCTGAGTGACCTCCTGGCCTCTCTCAAGAGTGATGATTACACTAATTAAAACGGCAAAACATCTGCGAGGGCCGCGGAAATAAGCAGGTCGTTAAATCAGCGGAGGAAAATATCAACATCCTCACAGACAGCTCCTCTTTTCCTGTCTTACAGTGAAACGAACGCTAGCAGTGGTCGCACATGAACACGACAAAACGTGTAATTGGTTCGAAGCTAAGTTTTATTCTTCTCCCAAATGGATTGGTGTTAATCACACTGTTCGACCGACGTGCTAACCCGCTTATCTAGGGAATCTCGGCTGCGATTTTGTCCTCAAGGTTCCACTTGTTGTATTTCTGTTTACATGTTCTTTTCCTCAAGTGAGGCCAGTTTCTAGTGAAGAGGGATTACCATGTCCGTATGTCTCCTTCACGGCAAAAACCTGGATTTCTACGCACCGTAGCCACGTTCGAGCATCTAACAGGATTGGTGTCACTGATTTTTTATGTTATTCTTTTCCTAACAATAACCATTTTCCCCCCTTAAGTGTTTCAACATGTGCATCAAGAGTTTTCCTCAGCGCTGCACAACAAATCAACACGGGTCAAGGTGCAAGCCTGGCCTGCAGTAAAGAAACGCTGCACAAGCTGCAAAGCTACACGAAGATGTCGAAAAGCGGATTGTCCTGCTTTAAATGCTACAAACACACAGCTCAAGGCTTTGTGCCATGTTCAAAGAGATTAATAGGCTGAGATCCTTTTGATAGGGAACCGAGCCGTCAAGCAACCCCTCTAAGCGGAAGGACGGTCATGTTCTCTGAAAGCCGGTCTCTTGAACATTCCCTCATGGTGAAATGGTTTATGTATGCTGCTCGAGACTAGCTTCTCAGCAGATGCATGTTCCTTCCGGACTCCTGGAGGACATGGGATTACTGTAAATGATGTACAGGTTATTTTCAAAAGGCTGAGGAGATTGGTGCAGGTTCTGCTCACACAAATCATTGCTCGATTTTTACTGGAACAAATAATTTCACGTCCCATGTTTTAATAATTTCGGTATTGTTTTTAAATGACCAAAAGGATGTGAGGTACTGTACCATGAGAATACTGAACCATTGCAGGACAACAGTGGTGGACAAAAAAACAAAAAAAAAAGATTAAAATGAAAGAAAACTAAAGAAAAAGCTTGATGCACAGATTTAGGGGGAAAAAAAGATTAAAAACAACATATTAAAAACAATGTTAATTTTATTCTGATATTTTAATAAGAGTTCACATTCTGTATTGACCGTCATGCAATGAAGACTGTGAATCTTGAAAATAAACTCACAAACTACACGCAAAAGTTTTATATTTTGAATTTTTTTTTTATCAAAAACATATAGCACAATCAATGTAGTGCAATTACCAAAACAAATTATTTTCGAGGCTAGTTTAATGAATATCTTTTAATAAATATCTAAAAAAAACAAAAAAAGTAAAGCTCCGCTTTGAATTAGTCTGGCAAATCCATCACTCAAATTAATCTAGCAGTTATTGAATCAACATCTGACTCACTTACTGAACATGTTGGTCATATCAGTGAATGAATATTTTCATACTTGCATATTATACTACCATTTAAAAGATTGTGGCCCGTAAGATTTTTCAATGTTTTTGAAAGGTCTCCAAGGCTGCAGTAAAAGCAGTAATATTGAGAAATATTATTACAATTTAAAATAACTTTTAAAAAGTAGTATATATGTATAGATATGAGCTACCCCTGCTGCAACAAAAAGTTCACAAATTCTGTAGGAAGCTACATAGGGCCACTTATTATATAGTATAAATTATATTTGCATTAACTTTAAACATCACTTACCACACTTCAAGGCAAAAACTGTCTGACAGTGTGTTTTATTACTAATCATTATAAATGTCTCTGGCAAACCTTACAACACTGTTGGAAACATTCTTCAGGCTGTTGTGCAATGCGACAATAAAAATATTTTGCACAAGCCTTTGCGTTGTAAATGTGTGTGAATTTCAGTCCAGTGATGTAAGGCCTGGAATTCTGGAATGGTGAAAAGATGTCATCTTTCAGCAGATGAGACATTCACTGTGAAGACTTCTGCAAGATGAGTGTAATTAGCACCTCACAGGTGATGAGATGTGCCCTCCCTAAAGACAAAAGTCCAAGATGACTAATGGTAGTCTGATGAGATGCGGTACAGCCTTGGACATGTTCTAGACACATTCGGAGATGTTTGTGATATGTGGAAGCATGAGTTATTGAAATATGCATAAATCAAAGGAAAGTTTCACAAAAAAATACTATAATGCTTTGCAGAGCAACTTATTACAGAATCCCAATTTTAAATAAATAAATAACAGATGTAACTGATATGAAATGTTCATATACTGAAGACTAACACTAAATCTGAATATACATACACTACACTTTAATACAGTAAAACTGTAATATTAAATATTATTACAATTTATAATACCCATTTTCTATTGTAATATAGTAGTCAACATTTGAAGTGGACCTAAACCTTTCAAAGTTGTCCTAAAACCTCTTGTCTTAGGACAACTTTGATGAACTTTTTTGATCCACTTCAAATGTTGACTACTGTATTTTGAAATATAAATATTCCTGTGAATGCAACCCTGAATTTCAGGAGTCATTACTATAAGTCCACGTTAAGTTCTTAAAATTAAACTTTTTTTGTAACTATGTAAACACATCTCAATTTAACACATCCTTGCTGACTCTTTTGAAGCGTATTTCCCTTCAACAAATCAGTATGTAAAATAAATATGCAATACTTATAATACAGTAGGCAAACAATCCAGTGGGATTCTGAATTGTGCAGCCAGTGGACACTTTGCTATCCCATAACCATTGCAAATTAATTTGTCCCCCATGTCAGGCACTTGGAGTACGTCAGAAACAAAACGAGGCATCAGTTTAGTGTCAGAGATTTGTCGTGTTGCATCGCATCATGCCTCACCACTTCCAGTATACACAGAATCACTGATTATAATGGGTTCTATTGTCTTTTAGATCCTTGCATCCGGTGTAGACACAGTAGAAGACCTCGTATACTAGTGATCTAACAACCACAATTTGACCATATATTAAAGAAGGCATTTACAACAGAGCGGTGCTTTACTTTCAGTGAGATGTCTCCGTGGTAACTGGCAGGGCTGAAACCACACCCCTTGCCTTAAGGCAGCACTGACAAGTTTGTGCTACAGTTGTCAGTTGGCTTTTGTCAGGGTGGGTGTATGTCAAAGCCCTAAAATTACAGATGTCTCCGCCTCAGGCCAACAGAGCATAAATCAAGGGAGCGAGTTTCCACATTCCCGCTAATGACCTCACGAGACCGAGCCGTGGAGGTGGGAGGGATGTTTAAAAAGTAAGGTGCTTGGCATAAAGAATCATCCTACTAAAAAATAATAAAAATTAAAAAATAATTCACCTAAAAATGTTGTCATTATTTACTTACCCTCATCATGGATTTTATTTTGTTATTTTCAACACAATGAAAGCGAAAGGAGAGATTTTAGCTAATTAATAACGTTAGCTAATTAATAACTCATCACATATCCTCAGAAGTCTTGGAAAATAGGAATATGGATTACTTCTATTATGATTGACTGATATTTTGTTGTGCATTTTTGGAGCTTGTGCCGATTCACTTTTTTTTTTTTTTTTTTATGTAAAAGAGCAGCATGAACATTTTTCAAAGCTTCTTCTTTTGAGTTCCTCAGAGGAAAGAAAATCATACAGGTTTGGAACAAAAATGATGGTAGACTTAGATTTTTTGGTCAACTATTCAGAATAACAGAATAATATCTATACATTCTATCCAGAAAGAAATACATTTCATATTTGGAAAGTGCAGTCAACTGGATCTTATCTAACAGACAGGCTTATAAAAATGTGCACTGCCCACAGGAATCCTCTCAAAGATGCATCATGGGTTGAGTCCGGTGTCATACACACCGTTCTCCATCTCGTTCTCTTTCTCCCTCACACACAGTCATCTTACACTCGAACCCGACTAAACTCCTCGTTTATGACTGCTCAAACCTCCTTACAGCCGACAAATTTCATTTTGCCCAGGCAAATCCTATTGCATATTATCCTGTACATTGCATTAGGCCCCTAATCTCTCCTTTCTCTTCCCTCGCTCCATACCTCCATGGAAGAAAAAAAGCGGCTCCTGATTAACCCACTTACGGCAGTAAATAAATGGCGTGCGTGGCTGTACACGCCAGATTTAATTATGAGAAAAGAAACGAAAATACATACAATAACAACCAATCTAATAATGGTGTGCTTATGTAATTTATTTAGCTACATAAAAAAAATGACCCACAAATCTGAATGAATGACCAAAGAACTGATTCAGAAAGAAATAAAATGGTAAATGGCAATAAATTTGAATGCAACAATACTGTATTATAAAAAGATTACCTTTATAATCAATTATCAACACGTCAAATCTTTACTCATCTTCATAGAAATGTTTCAACTGCAGCGAATGTCACATGAATCCCATATTGCTTTTGGTTTCCCATCTTTTCTTTGCTTCAAACCTAAAATTACAACAACAAAAAAACAAATCGGAGTCAAAATAATCAGGATTTTTAGAAAAAATAATAATAAAAGCAATAAAAAGAAAAACAAATCAAAGCAGAAATACAGATTCGTTTGGATAAACATGGTTGCATATAATTGCAGTCAATGCACAAACTGAATCTGAAAAGTATAATCGTAGCTATAAGCTCACAATGGGCATTCAGAGACCCTCTAAAGGGGACTGACTGACCAAAAAGATAAGCAGCATCCGCATACTCATTAGAAAGCTCTAGTGAATACACATGAGTTAACACACAGCAGCATGTCCAGGAAAGAGGGGACATCTAAAGTGTGAAATGCAGAGTGACTTAATGAAACTGCAGGGTATCAGCACCAGGGACGAACAGAAGAAGAAGAAAAAAAAAAAAGCAGACAACGAACCCCCAAGCGATTTGCTTCCTCCTTTTTCGGGCTGCCTGGGAAGCCTCCGCTTCCTGTTTGGTGCGGGCGAAGTCACGGCAATCGGCGGCTTGTGCGATTTTCACGGCCAGCTATTGAGAAGAAGACAGAGACAAGCTCCATTAGCTGGAGAAAATCAGTCTGCCTGGCAAACCTCACCAGTGCTGCCAGTGCGTCAAGGTGGTTCTCGAAGAAGGCATATCTTCATCACTGCGAGGATGGCAACACGGACACACACACGCTCGAGTTTCGAAAATCAAAAAAGAACTTGTGGTTCATAGATAGAAGTAGGACACCCAACCCTCTGTTCCACCACTCAGCATGGATGTGCATAATTAATGTTATTATCTCATATACTTAATCTGTTCATCTAAAGAGGACCTTTAATTCTGAAAATTGCTTAGGATGGCAAAATGAATGGAGGAGGGCGAAAGGCGCATGTCGGCGGTATCAGTGAGGGGAAATGTGTGTGGTGTGGCTAGATTAATTCCAATAGCCAGAGTGACACAGAGGGCTCAGGAAACAAAAGGAGAGTCCGGGCCTCTTCCATCACTCCTGGGATGGGTTTATTATTGGACCGCAAGAAACTTTGATAAACACTTGGACAAATCGAAAACTCTTTTTTTTTTACCCACTGCTTTTCTCTCGCCTCCTTTTTTTTTCGGGAGGGAATATGAGGGTAATTCTTTAGAACAGTGAAAGAACACAATCAGAGGGAACACACAAAAAAAACTCAGTTGGTAATGAGGAAATGTGCCACCATTTGTGGGCTCGAAAAAACCTGGAGAGAGCAAGAGAGTGGAAAAAAATGTTTCAATTATAATTAAGTGGGATAAACTTTATTAGAAAGACTGAAACTAAAATATCTCCTAATGCATGCTGGGATTAGGCAGGTCAGAGCGAGCAGGAAGGAGAAATTAAACTCTAAAGGCTTTTTATCGCCATATTTCAGGAACCAAGGGTGTAAAATGTTCTAATTTGGGATACATTAAAAGCCATAAAGGTCTTTCAAAAAGATTAATGGTACTTTGCTTGGATTTAAGATAAGGCCTTTAGCAGGCTGAGAGAGCGGGGTTCCGGCTGGGCCCTCGAGGCATTCATCTATACAGGCACTTGGAAGATTTGTAAAGGCGTCTGCATAACCTGAAGCTAACACACTATGACAGTTTTTTTAAATCCTTGCCATTTTTTTCCAGGTTTTAAGAGCCATAAATCATGTTTTCTAGCAAGACAGCGGAGAGAGGGAAGTTATAATGGGTGATCATGCCCGTGTTTAGCGCAGATCCACTCGCAGATAATTCACACCAGGGTGTTTTTGGAGAGGTGCATTTAAGCAGAATAGGTGCTAAAGCGATCGCGAGCTGAAAAGCATGATCAGATCGCAAATAAGTTTTATTTAAAAAAATATATATATATATCTCATGGACAAAAAGCAGCATTTTGAGACAACAAAACTGGATTATTATTTTTTTTTTTTTGCTGTCATGAGGTATAAATCTTGAGATTTATCTGCATTTTCGACACAAGGATTACCCACATGCACTCCAGCGTTAACCAAATTTTGCCCCCACCACCAAAATAAAGCCCCCCTTCGTTCTTCCAGCCGGGACTCCCCGATTTTCACACACATTACTATATTCAAAGCATTAAAGGTCTTTAATTTTTTTTTTTAATCAGTCCGGTCTACTATCCCCGATTGTCTTTACCGGGGCTCAACATTAATGTCAAGCAAGTTACCTAGGAGACAGAACAGATCAAAGAGACAAAAAAGAAAAAAAAGCTCTCGAATGTCTGATTAATCAAGCCTTGCAAACAGCTTATTTCTTTTAGTCTGCATGCAAGTATGAAAATGAGATTCGGAGCGCAGTACATTGTGCAGATTTGTTCATTCTTATCAGAACAAAGCCGGCGGCAGCTTATTTCATGGATCACTGGCACTGTCATCAGTGTAGCGCAGAGCAGGTGACAGCACTTCTTTCTGTGGCAAGAACAAAATTAGCAAAAAGTCGGCACAAATTAGCCTCTCATATTTTCCGTAATATGACATTATTTTTCATTTACTTTTTTGATCCACTTTTCATGATTTTCCCTCCTTTTTCATCCTCATCCCCCCTCCTTTTCCCTCTCTTGTGACTTAGTGCCAAATCCTTTCACATCAAATGCAGGCACAGAGGAAAAATGCAGGGCAGGAAAAAAAGGAATTTCAGTACATTTTGGAAACATTCCAAAAATTTCTGAAACTTTCCAGGATTTTTTGGAATCTTCATAGGATTTTTGGAAAGTTACCAGAAATTTACCAGAAATGTTCCACCCCTTTGCAACCCTAACCAAGCTACACCTGTTTATTTGTCAGCAAAAGTCTGCCGGATGACGTAAAATGCATCATCTGGTGGAGTTTTGAAAGCTCTTAGATACTTGTGAAAACTACAGATTGTACTTTTACATTTTTGCATCACGGATAGTCTGATCGAACCCCTTGCATTGTGCTGAAAAGGACCTTTTTTGCCACAGAATTTTTTTTTTCTCTAGCTATGTAGCACCAATTTACCAAATAAATAAATAAATAAAAATTTCACTTACATGAGAATATTACAGACTTATATAAATTTTGGTGCATTGCGAACATTATTGGGAACTAATTACATTTTCTCACATTGTTTGCCCTGATATTACCAATAAATCAACAACATTATTGTAATTTTGTTCCATCATGCCAAATGGGGTCAGTTTAAACAGATTGTAATAATCATGGCTTGCATTAAAACAATGGCAAGGGAAATCTCAAGAAAACCACTGCACTGCCTGAATGAAACAGGCCACGCTCCCATGACAATACCCTGTGTCATCTACACTAAAGCGGAGGAGACAAAATCCTCTCAACAAAAGTGACATATTGAGAGTCCTACATTTGATATCCTTGTATACAGTGAAAGATCCAGTTAACATAGCTTATCAGTCTCAAGGGGGTGGTGGGGGAAATAAGACAAGGAGTTCCTGTAATCTTGCCACCAACTTGACAAACAGCATTACAAGACATACAGAGAAGCAGCCTCTCTGAGGGGGATCTAGTTGGAAAAGCTCTCGGTATAATGCGCTTCTCTATGTTTCAGCCCCAATAATCTGATTCCAGATACATAAGACTGTCATCTTCAGGGAACAAGGGAGTGGAAAAAAGTCTGAAAGTTCGCTGGCTTTGTGCGCATTTCATTATCTTCCCTCTTCTGAGCAGGCAAGGCTTATTAGCAAGCTTTGAACTCACACTTACAATAATGTGCCATCAACAGTTTTATAAGCTAATTAGAAAAACAGTTTAATTAATGACTGACTGGCAATAAAATGGCAATCAGGAGAAAAAAAAGGAAACGAGGGTGCTAAGCTTCCACTACCACCAATTAAGGGCTAATTACAAACAAATTATATATGTGTTTTGCTGTGGGCTTTAATTCGGAAAAAAATGGCTTTAATTAAAAGAGAAAACATGCTAATTAATTAAACAGCACAAAAAATCTACATTGAAAAGTATGCTTTGTCTATCAAGTAATTAATGAAATACAATAATCCAAATGAGATTCCCCAGCATTTGATAAAAGCTTAGGACCCATTTCAAAACCCATTTCAAAATTAATGGGCAAAAATTTAATGTGAGTCATCTGCAGATATAATAAAAGTTCATTCTGTGATAAATTGCTAATGCTGAAAGAAAATGGAACAAAGAGGAGAGTTTTTGCTTAGCAGTTTTCTTGTTGCCAGAGGGGCCCGCACAGGAGGAAGAGCCGGTCTTGTGTTTCTGTACAGATTGTGTGTTATAGACAGAGGAAAGGGCTAAAAAATACCTAATCATAGGCTTTCAAAATCAGAACAAAGACGTTAAGATGATTAATAAATGGCTGAAAAAAATAAATAAACAGACATACATTATGTTTAATGCAATGAGCCTTAGCAAGCCTGTACAAAAGCTGTCAAACTAGTGCATGTTAATTGGATTGGATGAGTTTGACCTAACTGCAATAATGGCACTTCAAACAGTATGACACTCCTGTAAAGAACACACAAAGGCAAACTTTCAGAGAACCTTGTCATTAGAGATCTGTATGTTCGTAGTTACCGAGACATGCTGTATTTCAAAAGCATATTAGAACAAACCCCCAGCTGATTGGTCAGAGATGAAGGCTGATAAAGGAAATGGCAATGCAACACATTTAATGGGTATACTAAGGCCAGTTCTAATGCATAATCTTGGCGGTTGCGCAAGAGAAAAGTGAGCATCTAAGTTACATACTGAAAGACATATGCGCCCGTGTTCATGAACTCCCGCTCACTCACCCGACTTTATCTTTTTCGCCCCTCCAACAACTCCTTTTCAGACGGTGTCTTCGTCTTTTAATCATTTTCATATTGTCTGACTCCTGGAGAACTTGAAATGGACACAGTACCCCCCACCGCTGCAGACTAGAAAGTCTGCGTTTTGAAGTGGTAATGCGGAGCTAATATTTGTGATCAGGGCAGAGAAAAACTGTAGGAAATAATAAAGTGTGACAGTCCTTTGTTTAGTATTGCTCAGTTCGTCTTTACCACTGAGACTTAGACTGCAGCTCTTGTTATTAAATGTGCTTAGAAGGCTAAATGAAACCCCTTTCAAATAAGTTGGCGCAAGAAATGCATTCTCTACAGGCAAAAGCTGCTCAAAATCAAAACATCAGAGAAAAAAAAAACACGAATCTAAAAGTCAGAATAAAAACAAGCTTTGGCATAATCTTTGACATATAAACTAAATTATGTTAGAAATTCTAATTATTATTATATATATTATCAAATTATATTATCATTCATTAACTTACACATCTAACTTATAGTTATTGCACTCTTTCTCCTGTATTAGGCTTTTTGTTGACCCTAAAGCTAAAAGTGCTTTTAATGTAAAGCTGATACATTTAATAAATACTCAAATGTTCAGTAACAGAATACAGATATCTGAACAAATATACATCTAAAAAAAAAAAAAAACACAACAAAAGACACTAGTGTACTT